ACCAGCATTTGGTATCATTTGTTCTCTTGACCCTAGCCAGTCTGCTTGGGGTAAGGTGATTCCTTAGGGTGGTTTTAGTTTGCATTTCCCTAATTACTAACGATGATGAACACTTTTTGAGATGTTTCTTAGCTATCTTTATTTCTTCCTTTGAGAACTCTCTGTTTAGATCTTTAGCCCATCTTTTAACTGGGTCATTTGGTTTCTCGATTCTTTTTGAGTTCTTTATATACTATGGCTGTTAAACATCTGTCAGATGTGTCACTGGTGAAGTTTTTTTTCCCATTCTGTGGGTTTTCTCTTCACTTTTTTGATTGTATCTTTTGCTGTAGAGAAGCTTTTTAGTTTAATGAGGTCCCACTTATTGATTGCTGACCTTAGCCATCTCTCCAGCCCCCCTTTTCTTTTTCTTAAAGGATATTACTCTTGGAAAATGTCTAATGGGAAATCAATTAATCAATCAATCAATCAATCAATCAATCAATCAATCAATAAACCAATTCATCCATCCATCTACCCAGGTAGAAATCAGGCTTATGGTAATTCAGAGATCTTTCCACTGGTACCAGAGAGAAATGCTCCATGCCCCTTCCTTCCCATTTCATGGCTATTCTCATGACCTGTTTTTCAGTGTTCAGTTCAAGTCATGACTGCTTCTCCTGGGGTTTAATTTCTACTGTGCGAATATCTTGGTGGCCCATACTGTGACTTCACATCATCTCCCCTGCTACAGGTCTGGTCCAAGCCCCCTCACCCCTCCCTTGCTTCTCATTTTCACCACACTGCAAGTAGAATGATCTTCACAGAGATGCAAAGCGGTTCATTATGTGAAGGCCTCCTTTGCTCTTCCCTGTAGTGAAAGGAAGCTGCTGCTCTTTACCCTACCTACAAAGCTCCCATGAGGCAAAGGAGGTAATGTAGACCACAGAAGGAACTGGGAGCTTGCCTAGGGCTGAGAACAGGGTTGGGGAGGCACAGGGGAGGAAGCACTTGGACTGAAGTTTGAGGGAGGCAAGACCCCAGGAAATAGCTCATTGGAAAGTAGCCTAACATAGCCAAGGAACTATGGACTATCATCACTCCACTGAGGCACAGAGATACCCCATCTCCACAGGCAGTCAGAAGGCCTATAGGTGGCCATGATATCGTAGACACAGTCTTCCCATGTTCAAGCTGGTCTCCCTTCAGAGGATGCTGACCCTCACAATCATAGGCTACCTTTAGAATTTCTGGTGCTTTTGTTTCCTCCTCTGACTTTTGCCCCTTTTCAAAACAGAATAAAATGCAAATCAGAAACACAATGCCAACACATGGAGACACAGAGCAAGTGAACTGTGACACCCAGTGGCCTCATCTGATGGATGATTTAACAGCAGCCGTACTAATTTTAGTGAAATCTTCCTTCTCTTGAGATGTAACACCATGGGTGACATATCTTAATTTCTAGGACTTAATGGAATAGCAGAATGTGAAATTATTGCTTCTCAAACACTGTCTTCGTGTGATCAAAAGACATAATCCAGAAAATTTACTTGTAAGTTTTAAACAACTCAGTCTTGATTCTTATGACATCTTAATAGTCCCAGTATGAAAACAAAACAAACAAAAAATAGCTACTGACAAAACCTCAGTGAAAAAGGGAAGAGATTTTACCTCTGCACTGAACTCTAAGATCCAACTTAAGACCTAAAGCAGAGGGGCTGGAGAGATGGCTCATAAGTTAAGAGCACTGGCTGCTCTTGCAGATGACCCAGGTTTGAGTCCCAGTACCCACATGGTGGCTAACAATTGCCTAGAACTCCAGTTTCAGGGGATCTGATGCCCTCTTCTGACCTCTGTGGGCATTGCATGACATGGGTGCACTTACATATTTGCAGGCAAAACATACACATAAAATAAAAATAAATTTTTTTTTTAATAAAAGACCTAAAGCAGAGTCTTTTCTCCTACCATTGCCATCTCATTGTTGAAGCTGGTTAATTTATAAAACACTCCACTGCTTTAACTAATGAGCTGAGACACTAGGTGTCTGACACCTTTACAATGGAAGACACTTCTTTTAGAAATTAAAGGAAATAACATAACTTTCTTCCAACTCGGTGAACTAAGGCTAATTGTAACCTATGTGATACAGGGATACCTCTGAGCTTCTGGACCTTAGTACACTTATACCAGCCTGCACTTTTAGCTGTCAGATTTACTCTTGGTTGGAACGGACCCCAGGACCTACCATATTTAAAATTATTCTTATCATTATCATTAGGTTAGGAATTATAGTTGGTGGTATATGGATACTAGGAAAAGAACCAATAAAATACTATCATTGGGAGTTACTTTGAAATTGTTGAAATTCCAGTACTCAACTGAACGCATGTGGTCAGCTCATATTTCTCCCCTAAAGGTCACCCAGCAACTTACATCCTTTGCTAAGACAGAGCACCCCACCCCCGTGAAAATGTGAACTTTTTGGATAAATACAGCAACTATTTTGTGACACTGAACGACCCAATGAAACCAGTACTTATTAGGACTCTTCATAGGTTGCACCATGGTTCTCAATCACTGTCACAGCCTGATCAAAGCTCGGTCCCCAGAGGAAGGCAGAGCTGAGAAATGAGGTTGGCTGTGGAGTTCTCTGTTGCTTTAGCTGAAAAATGTTTGTGGTGGTAAATAAATCTCAATTGTCAACTTGATGAGATCTAGAATACCCCAAAGATGGACTGACCTCTGGGCATACCTTTGGGGGATTATTTTGATTGGGTTAACTGAGGTGGGTTCTACCCACTGTGGGTAGAACCATTGCCTGGACTGGAAACCTGGATTATATAAAATGGGGAGACTGAACTGATCACAAGCATTACTGTTGTCTTCTTCCTGCCTTCTGGCCAGCTGCGTGAAGCTCCTACTGCTTTGACTTCCCCACCATGATGGACCATACCTTGAACTGTGAGCCAAAACAGACCTTTCCTTCTTTAAATTGCTTTTGCCAGGATGTTTTATCACAGCAACCAAAAATTAACAATACCCTGTATATGTTCTAGATCCAAGGATTCCACCAACTGCAACTCAAACATTTTTCCCTTATTAATATATCCTAAGCAGTATGGACTAACAACCACTTATAGAACATTTACATTGTATTATATATAAATAACCCAGAGATGATTTAAAGTACCAGGGATGATTTTGTAGGATCTATGCAAATATTAAGACATATTATATAAGGGATTTGGGAGTGTGAGGATTTTGATATCCAAGGGGATCCTGGAACCAACCCCTTGAACACG